TTAACTTTTGCAGAGGCCATACTTTATTTGGGTGGTATCCAACTTTGTCCTACTCAGAGAAAACCCACTGAAATTAACGCACCTAAATTAATCATGTCCAGTAATTACAATGGGTCAACTTGGAGAAGGACGACCATCGGATGCAATTTTTTGCAATGTGATGTTCCATAATGTTCATTCATGATAACATCCACTTTCTTATACACAAAAAGTCTGTCATAGAAGAGCAAATTGAATCAGAAAATGTATGTACATACAGGAATGCTTATGAACAGTGTATTCCATTCTCATGGTGAGCTTGGGCAGGATGCAGAGCTTTGCATATCTGTAAAAGCATTATAAAGCTTTGAAATATGATCCATTTTGGCCATTCATTCATTACTTCTTTTGTCCAACCTTTCATTTATACTCCTGTACAGGCTGCTAGATGGGACGCGGGTGGCGCTGTGGGTTAAACCACAGAGCCTAGGACTTGCCGATCAGAAGGTCGGTGGTTCGAATCCCCGTGACGGGGTGAGCTCCCGTTGCTCAGTCCCTGCTCCTGCCAATCTAGCAGTTCGAAAGCATGTCAAAGTGCAAGTAGATAAATAGGTACCGCTCCAGCGGGAAGGTAAACAGCGTTTCCGTGTGCTGCTCTGGTTCGCCAGAAGCGGTTTAGTCATGCTGGCCACATGACCCGGAAGCTGTACGCCAGCTCCCTCGGCCAGTAAAGCGAGATGAGCACCGCAACCCCAGAGTTGGTCACGACTGGACCTAATGGTCAGGGGTCCCTTTACCTTTACATCCCAACTATGTGCTGTTTCAAAAGAGGGCATTAGGGCTGGATTAATCGCATGTACTTCACTCTCTTTCTCCCCTAAAACAGAGGGTTGGTAGGGCTTTGAGGAACTCTTCCAAAATTCCTCCCGGATTTGGGAGTTCCAAATGACCGAGTCTTCTTTCCAAAACAGAATAAATGGGAATTAGATTTGTCTGTCACTCCAGCCAACTTTCCCATTCACATGTATTCATTAATGAAACACTGCCAAAAAAAAAAAAAAAAGTGTGTGCGTTCGTGTCCTGGCATTGTACATTCAGTGGCATCACTACCATTTTTGTGACTTTTCATTGCCTCATAGGATGCAGGGATGGGGAGAATTTACATTCTGTTTGCACATAAAGGCACATCTACCTATTCCGCACTCTTCAGAAAGCAAAAGGACAGCCATCCTTTGACTTCACACTACATCTGAATTTTGCAATTCACTTCTCTGGTTAAATACTGTTTGCATACATGCATCAACTAGAGTTAATGCATATATTAGTGAGAATGTATTATATTACCAGAAATTGCCTTGTAGAAATGTTTGTATTAGGCAAAATTCTATACACAAAGATGGATATTGGGAGAAATTTGCATTAGAATGCTGCTGAAATTTCACTGGGCCTTTAAAAATAAACAAGCTACAAAGTCTAATGGAAATGGGGAGAAGTGAATTTAAAGCTGGCCGGAGTGTGGGGGTTGGTGGGGAAGAGAGATTTCCCCATACCTAGCGGTATAACACATGTATGGATCTGTATAATAATAAACCACTATATTAAAAAAAAAATTCATCCAATTATACACAGGATCTCATCAAAATTGTGCTTGTGTGTTTTATCTACCATGCATACCTGTACTGTATTCTTCTGTTTGGAAGTTAATTTAATATATTGTCCTAGTTAAACCAGAAATCAGAGGGAGAGGAAGCATGGAGCAGACCAGGTAAAATAATCATGGAGTAGCATGTTTGATGTTTTATCGTGTTTTTAATATCTGTTGGGAGCCGCCCAGAGTGGCTGGGGTTTAAATAATAAATTATTATTATTATTATTATTAGAGAAATCTTCTCATGCCTAAGAATATAGTTGCAGTCACGGAAACAAGCTATTAGACTGACGTGCCTGCCCATATATTATTATTAGTGATGCTTTTATAACCCTTAATTCCAAACTAGACTTCTAAGTGGCTCACGGTTATTAAAATATTACTGGTAGCATCGTATAGTTACCAAACTTTATTTCATAAAATTTATATACTACTTAATTGCAAAGAAAAAGCCCCCCCAAATCAACAAGCTTTACAAAAAGAATAAACCAGTGAAATAGTAAAAACCATTAAAACACTGAGGAAATTAAAACCAGCAATAAACTAAAGACACAGCAGCATTCCAGATAGGCTTGTCTAAACAAAAATGTTTTAGCAAGCACCAAAAAGAGCACAATAGAGTTTCCAAGTCCTGCCCATTGAGCATTTCTCCTGATTTCTTTGCACAATGATCACAAGGAGATTTTACAAAATCTGCTACTTGTTGAGTAATAGGAATAATTTATTATTTATACCCCACCCATCTGGTTGGGTTTCCACAGCCACTCTGGGCGGTTCCCAATAGAATATTAAAAACATAACAAAACAGCAAACATTAAAAACTTCCCTAAACAGGGTTGCCTTCAGATGTCTTCTAAAAGTCAGATAGTTGTTTATCTCCTTGACATCTGAAGGGAGGGTCAGTTCAAAGGTAGCCCCACGCAGAGCGCATTGCAGTAGTCCAAATGGGAGATAACCAGAGCATGCACCACTCTGGCAAGACAGTCCATGGGCAGGTAGGGTCTCAGCATTCATTCTGATTTCTTCTGCAGGGAGGTTATACAACATTGCCTCGAGCAATGTTAAGTGGCACTTTCAAGAGCATTTCCCCATCGTTAGGGTGAAGGGAAGAGTGGGTTTGTTTCATAACAGTGCTGAGCTGGTCCTCTTTAATTCCACAACCTGAACTAGCTGGCTAAATCCCACCTGGAAGCTCTCAGAGATTCTTCTAACGCACTGTATTTTAAAAGGCTCTATCATTGTTGTTTATGTTGTGCAAAGAGTGGACGAACAGTAACTCTACAATCATGAACGGTGTTTCCCACATGCTTTTGCTTTGTGTTTTCAAGCGAAATCCTGGCAAATGAAGGAGGAATGGGAGAAGGAAATATTACATCCTGGACGGTTTTCCTTCTTGTCGGGCTTCAGCACCAGAGGTCACCCAGGGTTTTCTTGGTCTGATGCTTTTCATGTTTGTAATAGCTCTGGTGGGAAACGGACTCCTTCTTTTCCTAATGAGAACGGACTCTGGCCTGCAGACGCCAATGTACTTCTTCCTCAGCCAGTTAGCCTTCATGGACCTCTGCCAGGTTCTCTCGATTGTTCCTTCCATGACAGTGAATTTTGTAACCCAGAGATATGACACTTCACTTCGTGGGTGTGTCATCCAGATTGCTGTAACGCTGACACTGGGCGGAGCAGAATGCCTGATCCTGGCTATCATGTCCTATGATAGGTATGTGGCTATTTGCAGGCCC